CGGGCCATCCTACCGCCTTTGGTAAGCATGCATAAAAGACGTCGTATCGCTTGTCATTGACCCTCGTTAATCTGGCAGCCATCCAGCATCCATATCTTCTCGCATTTGACCCTACTTTCGTCGAAATCCGGCATGTGGAAACTGGAGTTTTAAAACAAGTCATCCAAGGGAACAACCTGCGGTGTCTATTCACTGATACGCAGCCCACCCCAGTTGTTCTTCACAATTCGTATGACTCACATCAGCAACAGATGTATCGCGACCGAAACTCCTATAACCAGTTCGGTGCACCAATGTATCAGGGGACCCCGGATGCCAGATATGGAAGAAATGGGCGAGACGATATTATAATGGTTTCGGATGATTCTGTGTTAGCGGTAAGAGCGGTGGTATCTGATGTAATATCTACGACATCGCGGTAGTTGATGTGAAAGGAGTTGCCCATGAGCCCCTCGGTACCTTGCATATGACTGCTTCTATTATCTTTCCCCTCCCGACTAATTCATCTGCATTCATCCTGTTCGAGTTACCTGTCATGTCCTGTCCTGTCATTGCAATATGTGTATAACAACATTTGTGGCTTCTGGATGGAAGAAGTAATAACACATCAATGCGCGATTTATTATGACTTTATCCTTTTGTCAGTGTAAATACTAGTACAACAAAAGTAAGGTGCAGTATGGCAAATGTCTGAAGAGTCAAATGTAGAACGTTACAACAATGGTATCATTGTTCAATATGTATTAGAATGTATGCGTTAACCATCAAGCCCTGTTAGCTCAACGGTAGAGCGCCAGATTCTTACAGTCCCACTGACCGGGTAAGAATCTGGAGGTTGCGGGTTCGATTCCTGTACGGGGTAATATTTTTATCCTGTTAGATCACGAGCTCTCTTTCTCCAACCAAGAGTCCTTTGAATCTAGGTATATATCTTTTTCCGAATGTGAATATTTTTAACAATTACGGAACTGGCCATTAAGTACCAAACATGCATATGCAGAACTATAGACGTTCAATGTTCGCATCCAAGATATGACTTGGCCTTATAATGACGTTATTCTTTTGTCACTGTAATATGAGTACAACAAAAGTAAGGTGCCGTATGGCAATTGTCTAAAGACTTTGAATGTAGAACATTACAACAGTGGTGTCATTGTTCGATATCTATCAGAATGTATGTTCTGTCTAACAAGCCTTGTTAGCTCAACGGTAGAGCGTCAGATTCTTACAGTCCCACTGACCGGGTAAGAATCTGGAGGTTGCAGGTTCAATTCCTGTGCAGGGCAATATTTTTATCCCGTTAAATCACGAGCTATTTCTCCTACCAAAAGTCCCTTTTGAGTCCCGTATGTATATATATCTTTTTCCGAGTGAAATACTTCTAACCATCATGGAACTAGTCATCAAGTACCAAACATGCATATGCAAAACTACACAGAATTTCAAAGTTCGGATCCTAGATACATATGACTTGGCCTTATGACTTTATTCCTTTGTCACTGTAAATACTACTACAACAAAAGTAAAGTGTAGTATGGCAAATGTCCAAAGACTCCAACAGTGGTGCAATTATTGTCTCTTAAGCTTCGTTAGCTCAACGGTAGAGCGTCAGATCCTTACAGTCCCACTGACCAGGTAAGAACCTGGATGTTGCAGGTTCGACTCCTGTGCGAGGCCATATTTTTTATCCCATTCAATCATGGGTTCCTCCTCTTACCAAGAGTTCCTTTTGAATCAGGTATATCTTTTTCTGAGCGTGTAAATTATTTTTGAAGGCCAGAGGTGATGATGGGCAAAGCAGTGCCAGCGCTTGCTAGGGCAAACATCTCAGCATCGTAGATGCCTGCCCGTTTGCCCAGGCCAATTTGATGTAGCTATTTCATTGATGAATTGATGCATTTGGTATTATTATGTTCATGTTTTTCATGCTTGTACAGAAATAGAGGTGTCTTGAAAGTGTCGATTAATGTATAGTGTGAATTCATTATTCAGTCAAGTCATCAACTCCACTCTTAAATACGACTCTTCTTTCTTCATAGAATCAGCAACTTAATTTAATATAAAGAAACACCTCATCTCTATAGTGCTGAATATTTTTATCTGTTTGCATTGCGGGTCAATAGTATATTTCATTTATTGTAAAAGATTGAATCACCTTTCCGTTTATATGTAAATATTACATGGCAACTAACAGGTACCAACCAGTGCAGTCCACTATCATCTCTTCATTCTATCAGAGTTTAGACGATTGAATTATGCCAACTGGTGAGGACGATGGCAGCTAACGACACCAACTGGTTGGCCGGGCACACTGAATATTTCACCGAGTCACGGTTTAAACTGATCCGTATGCCGAACCCACGCCACTTACCCGTCCATCCTGCTACATTCAAGGGGAGCCATATTTACGCCATTAAAATCACGACCTCCATTTATCCCTAAAAATATAATTCTACAAAAAAACTAGAAACTCTAACTTGTAAAGAGCCACCGTCCCACTGTTGAAATTTTGGCCATTCGGTAATAATCTCAACGTGATGACACTTGTGGGCCTTAATATATTTCGCAATAACACTACATAGTCCTGTATAGTAGCTTAGTAATATTAACGCTTTTTGCTCACGTCCACGGTGTACCGACATATACCCTCCCCTTATTTCCAACACCCTCCCACGTAGTCAGGTAACCACACGAACTTGGACACTTGCAGATCATTAGGCTGATAGTCCACAATTTTGCAGGTATTCTTGTAATATTAGACAAAGTCATTGATTCAATGTTTTGGGTCTATTAATAAATAGGTGAGTGAATTGCCTGCCCTTTATTACCACCACTCCCTCCCAACATTATTGTAGAAGATGTTGTCTTGTCGGGGGCAATATGCTGCTAATGCTGCTATTGCATCTGCAATAACTATTCTACCAGTTCAAAACAAGATCTCAGCTCACAGCAGAACTATACAGGTGACAAAACTGAAAAGAGGGCAGACAACGCCCAAACTAATCTACATGAGTTCGACGTGACTGTATGTATACTATATAAGTACTCACTTCAGTCGCTGCTTTGAGGTAGCAGAAAAGCGACTGAGGGGCTTGCAATAAAGTTTAAAAAGTCTGTAAGCATGGGTGTAAGCAGCGCTCGCACTATGAGGCCGTGGTGATCACCAACACATAATCGATAAGGTACAGGTACTGAGTTATTTGTGCATCTTCATATTTTGTCAACAGGATACCCCACTAACTGCCATCCAGTATTACTGTCTAGGAGCCATCGTACGGATATATATGCGACTCTTTACAAGAATATATACATTTAAATGGTTTGCGCAAAAAACCCGCGCCATAGGGTCAATATGGCCCTGCAGTGACACTGTAGCTTTTAGAGACTATCAATAAACTCATAACAGGCTGTAAAACGGTATCCGCAATCTACCTTCTCTTGTTAGTACTACTTTTATTTTTCCGTGGAAGGATCTGTTAGGAGCTGGGAGTCATCAAGAATAACTGATTCGACGACCTTGGCTTTGTGTGGTTTTAAGTAGTATTTTTTCAGAAAAATAGTCAGCCATGCTTTTTTCACTTGTTCGTAAAAGATCTGTTGTTTCATATGGCTGTTTCGGAGTCTCATATTTTGAACCACGGAAGCCAAGCCCACCACCGAAGCTGGATCCCAATCCAATAGGCTGTTCATATGGAATATCATTAGTCTCTTGGGCGACTCGATCAGCTGTGTTTGGGGTATTGGGGGGCGTGTCCTGCTTAGAAAAGGGAGTCGATGATGAATCTGAAGCCGCCATGGACGATGAGATGCGAATTTCATTCATGCCCGTGGTCGATGCAGTGGCCATACATTTAGACGCAAGATATCTAGCCCTATGGCTGATGGGACGAATAAAGTGAGCATATGTGAGAGAGATGAGACTAGAATCACTCACACCCGATCGAAGAGCTTGCGCAGAATTTTGTCGCGTTCCAGAAAGGGCAGGAAACTTTCAAATTGAGGCTATATGTCGGCCATGATGGCTCCATGATCAGACATGCTTCGGGCCAAGGTCCGTTGAGGTGACCCGCTCTGGGAAGTGAATTTGTCTTCGAGGCTAGTGCCATGCAGCTATCTCTGCTTTATCTCCGACTTACACACTTGGCAGGTGTGGAGAACGCACGACCGTTCTCTTTTTGTCTGGGCGATGCACGAAGGGACTTCCACTGTTGGCCTTGGCCGCTCAATAACTTTATTACTCTCCTTGAAAGCAACGTCCCTGAAAATATTTTTGAGAAATGCCTCAATTAGCTCAACATATCATTGAAGTCTTGCTGTTGTGTTTTGTTGACTTACGTAGGAGTATTCCGACTATACTTGCGATTAAGTACTAAACATGCATATGCATGACTACATAGAAGTTCAAAGTTCGCATGCAAGATATATTGGCTTGGTCTTGTGACTTTATCCTTTTGTCAGTGTAAATACTAGTACAACAAAAGTAAGCTGCAGTTTGACAAATGTCTGAAGACTCAAATGTATAACGTTACAACAGTGCTGTTATCGTTCAATATCTATTATAATGTATACGCTATCCATCAAGTCTTGTTAGCTCAACGGTAGAGCGCCAGATTCTTACAGTCCCACTGACCGGGTAAGAATCTGGAGGTTACAGGTTCGATTCCTGTATGAGGCGATGTTTTTATCCCATTAAATCACATGGGTTGTCTCTCCTACCCAAGAGTCCCTTTTGAATCAGGTATATATCTCTTTTACTGAGTGTGAAATATTTTTAAGCATTATGGAACTGGGCATTAAGTACCAAACATGCATATGCAGAACTATAGAAGTTCAGCGTTCGCATCCGGGTGTCGGCTTGGCCTTGTGGCTTTGTCCTGTTGTCACTAATATTAGTACACCAAAAGTCAGGTGCAGTATGGCAAATGTCTAAAGACTTAACTGTAGAACACTACAACAGTGGTGTTGTTGTTCGATATCTATTAGTATATCCTGTCAATCATGCCTTGCTAGCTCAATGGTAGAGTGTCAGACTCTTACAGTCCTTCTGACCGGGATCGACTCCTGTGTGAGGCTACATTTTTTATCCCATTAAATCATGGGTTCCTCCTCTTGCCAAGAGTTCCTTTGACTCAGGTATATCTTTTTCCGAGCGTGTAATTTATTTTTGACAATTATGCTATGAAAGTTCAAAGTTCGCATCCAAGATATATTGATTTCCCCTTATGACTTTATTCTTTTGTCACTCTAAATACTGTAAATACTAGTACAACAAAAGTAAGGTGCAGTTTGCAAATGTCTAAAGACTTTACAACAGTGGTGTCATTGTTCGATATCTATCAGAATGTATGTCCTGTCTACCAAGCCTTGTTAGCTCAACGGTAGAGCGTTAGATTCTTACAGTCCCACTGACCGGGTAAGAATCTGGAGGTTGCAGGTTCGATTCCTGTATGGGGCGATATTTTTATCCTGTTAAATCACGCGCTTTTTGAATTTTCCCCTCCCAAGAGTCCCTTTTGAATCATATATATCTCTGTTTTCGAGCGAGTGAAATATGTCTAACCGTTACGGAACTAGTCATCAAGTACCAACCATGCACATACAAAACTACACAGAAGTTCAAAGTTCACATCCAAGATATGACTTAGCCTTATGACTTTGTCCTTTTGTCATTGTAAATACTAGTATAACAGAAGTAAGGTGCAGTATGGCAGATATCTAAAGACTCAAATGTAGAACTTCCAACAGTGCTGTCGTTGTTCAATATCTATTAGAATGTATGTCTTACTCATCAAGCCTTGTTAGCTCAGCGGTAGAGCGTCAGATTCTTACAGTCCCACTGACCGGGTAAGAGTCTGGAGGTTGCAGGTTCGAGTCCTGTGCAGGGCAGTATTTTTACCCCGTTAAATCACGGGCTCTCCTACCAAGCGTCCCTTTTGAATCACGTATATATCCCTTTTTCCTAGTGTGAAATATTTTTAACCGTTATGGAACTAGTCATCAAGTAACAAACATGCATATGCAAAACTACACAGAAGTTCAAAGTTCGGATCCTAGATATGACTTGGCCTTATGGCTTTATTCTTTTGTCACTGTAAATACTACTACACCCAAAGTAAGGTCCAGTGTCTAAAGACTTAAATGATGTAGAACGTTGCAACAGTGGTGTCATTGTTCGATATCTATTAGAATGTATGTACTGTCTATCAAGCCTGTGTCCCTACATATGCAGTCCGTGAAATAGTAGCTTAATTCCTGAAACGCCCTCATCACGTTCAGGCACAAGGAAATGGAAGGCATATACGTATGTAGTTACTGGCAGAGGCCAGTCCAGCTGATCTCCCTAAAATGGCCAATTCTGACGATTAGCATAACATGTCTATCATGAATTGAACAAATTTTATGGCATGCTTTTATGTAGAAAGCGGCCAACAAATTATTCTGCATACGATTACAACGAGAAGATTGATACATTTATTAGTTTATATCTAAGCAACGAAAAATGAAAGGAATCAAAAACCATCATCAGGAAATCCAGGTGGAAGAAAGACGAACTACGTTAGGGAAAGCAAGGTCGATACAAAACGAAGGGGTCGGAGGTCAAGGGAAAGACTAGCCCTTGCCTTGAACAACCTTGTTATTCTCCACAATTTCCGAGAGTTGGGCACCATGCCGCCTCGCCTGTTCAATTTGTTTTTGCAGGGTTCTGTACGGGGAGAAGGACAAATTGAGGTCGAGAATCGAGAGTAAACGACGAACAAGATAACTCACTTGACATGACTATCGAGTTCAGCAATGCGCTCTTTGGCACCCTGCCTCTCTCTCTTGATTTTTTCCTCTGCGGTCTTCAACCGAGTCTCATACTCTTTCACTCGGGCCTCCCATTTCTGCTCTGCAGCTAAATGCTTCTCCACGAGATGAGCATTGGCTTCTTCAGCGGTTGCTAGCTGGTTCTGGCAATTGACTATACGACGCTCTGAATTCATGAATTTGGCCGTTGCGGCTCGTAATTCTGCATCTTTGGAAGTAGGCGATGCCTTGATGGATGTAAGTTGCGAACTGAGTGTGGTATTTGTAGCCTGCACTTGGGTATTTAAACCGATTGTAACAGGATAATGTGTAGAAACAAACCTTCAATGCCTCGAGTTCGCCCTCTTTCGCCATATATTTACGCCGCCAGGTATGTTTATTTTCCAGAGCACTCTTGACAACTTTCTCAAAATTGTCAATCTGTTTAGAATAATTATCTAAACGTTTCTTCACCCCTTGGTACTGTTCCATGAGGCGTGCTTCGGCATCCTTGGCGCGTTTGTCGAAATCCAGCTGTATCTGGCTTAGAGCTTTCAACTTGGAAATCAAATTGTCATGAAACACGTTGAAATTTGTGAAAGGCTTGGTTTCAGAGCCGGATTTCTTCTGAGTCGAGAGTAAATCTTTTTTTTTTCGGGGTATTTATATAAGTTGTTGGACACACCGATATCCTGTCTACACCCAAAATCTTCTCCATATACTGATAAATAGTCAATAATAGGGTATTTCTCTCGGTCAGCTGATCCCTGAATTGACCCTCGTTCGCCAGTAATGCCCGCTGGTCCTTCGATAACCTCAACTCCAGTTCACTCCCTTATGACTTTATTCTTTTGTCACTCTAAATACTGTAAATACTAGTACAACAAAAGTAAGGTGCAGTATGGCAAATGTCTGAAGAGTCAAATGTAGAACGTTACAACAGTGGTATCATTGTTCAATATGTATTAGAATGTATGCATTAACCATCAAGCCTTGTTAGCTTAACGGTAGAGCGTCAGATTCTTACAGTCCCACTGACCGGGTAAGAATCTGGAGGTTGCAGGTTCGATTCCTGTACGGTGTAATATTTTTATCCTGTTAGATCACGAGATCTCTTTCTCCTACCAAGAGTCCTTTGAATCCATGTATATATCTTTTTCCGAATGTGAATATTTTTAACAATTACGGAACTGGCCATTAAGTACCAAATGTGCATATGCAGAACTATAGAAATTCAACGTTCGCATCCAAGATATGACTTGGCCCTATTATGACTTTATCCTTTTGTCACTGTAATATGAGTACAACAAAAGTAAGGTGCCGTATGGCAATTGTCTAAAGACTTGAATGTAGAACGTTACAATAGTGGTGTCATTGTTCGATATCCATTAGAATGTCGTGGACATATGTACTAGCCAATGATTTTTTATTTGGAGAAATTAATCTAGCGAGATGATCTGCCTCGTTGAACAAAGAGGGGAAGTTGGCATATGGAAGGGGAGCAGTCTGTTGTTGTCCAATGGATGCATGGCGAAACACTCAAGTACTCCAACAAAGTGCGGGGTGGCCTATCCAATATATCTGACGATCAAGATCGAGTATCGAGTCTCGTTCTGCCTACAATATCATACAACATCTCGTTTTCTCGCCTTGACACACTTAGCAATACACCGGTTATTCATAAGAATATATGGTCTCATGTTTTATTCTTCGTTTCTCTTTGTGGTTTTTGTATAAATATTAAGTGCTAGATACAGTTTATGGAGTAACCATGGCGGAAACAACGAATGACCAAGTACGTCCTTTATGACGCTACTGGAGCGGTTGCTTTGGGAGTCAAGTCTTCTGACTTTTTGGAGCTTTTCTTCTTTTGTGATCCGCTCACGCTCTGAACTACCTCGTGGGCGCCGTTGTTCTGAACTCCTTCGCGGGCGTCCTTGCTCTGGACTACCTCGTGGGCGCCGTTGCTCTTGGATACATGCATAGCATGTGACGAAAAATGATTGGCGGTTGGAGAACTAAAACTGTCAGAAACGGTGTTAGTGATGGTGTCTAAAGTTGGGTATTAGCAGAGATGATCAATCAATTATTGCAAGTTTAAAGAGACTCACTCTTACGGTAGCGTGATTTTCCTAGTATCGAGAGACCAGTAAATCTGAGTGCGTGTACCAAACGAGAAATACTCACCAGCGACACCATCGAAGAGTGTAATTCCATGTGACTCGGGCTTGGAAACGATGATACACCCGTTCCGATCAAGAGGAGGGGCTAACTCAAGAAGCAAGTCCCCGCAGATGTTGAAAGTAGGATTGGTGAGGGTGTATCCGTATGCACCTGACTGGAAGGTCGGCCACACATCCGAGAATAATTTCACCAGTGTAGAGATAGTTTCTTCCTTTACTAAATTCTGGGCGGGTAAGCCATCCCGTAAGATGGATGTGGCATCTTTGAAATCCTTGTGGATTAACTCTGTATCACCATGGAATCCTGTGGATTTCGGGATATTGATCGACTCCACTTTGCTAAATTCGAGACCGCATGCGTTCGCAGCGTTGCATATGACAATGGATGTCGACCAGTCAACAGTGGAGGATGTGCTGCGAGTAACTTATAAGTATATATCCAACAAATAATTGTTTCAGACTCACCTCCATTGTTTCCCATTGCCACTGAAGGAAAGGGTGAGCTCGACTTTGCCTTCAATCTTTATCTTACAAATGCCGCGTTGGTTTACAGTTGGAAGAGTAAGGGTGTTAGTAGTTTTGCCTGGAGATCATATCAGTCTCGTAATCGACTGAATGGCACATCATTACGAACAGGAAACCGCGTATCCTCCATTGTAGATGTGACAGATATCACCTTCGTGGCAATAGGTCCAGTCATCATTATACTTCCATTGATATTGAAGACCTTCTGGACAGACTCCGATCCTATTCCAGTGGCACTTTCTGGCGCTCTTGGCGTCCTGAATCGACGGGTGATCACACCATACAGGGAACTCGATCTTCCATGCGCCCTCGTCACCGATATAATGGAAGTGCGGAACGATGGTTGTGCGCTCATTGATTTTCTCAAGTTCGCACAGCAGCCATCCTTCCAGGAAAGTTTGCCTCGATAGTGCCACCACTCCTGAGAAGCGTTCTTCACAAATAGACCAACGCCAAGATCCCGAAGGAATGGGTAACGGGGGAAGTTTCTCGTCGCAGAACATACCGCAAATGATGAGCATGTTTCGATCACCATAGTTGCGTTGGTGTCCAAAGAGACACGATACATATTTCCTCTCT